GGGGTGCCCAAACTCGGTCCTGGAGAGCTGGTGTCCTGCAAAGTTTACTTCCAACCCCAATTAGACACACCTGAACAAGCTAATCAAGCTCTTCCTAAAGCTGCGTTCAAAATTGCATACTTCCATACTATAAAGTACGCTAAAAACAGTATACGAGCAGAGTAGTACGGTTAAAGTCAGAATTATCAGCCCCCTGTGAATTTTTTTTTCTATATTTCCTGAATGATGTCCAACAGAGCAAGGACATTTTCACAAAATGTCTGATAATATTTTTTCTTCTGGAGAAAGTCTTATTTGTTTTATTTCAACTAGAGTACAAGCAGTTTAAATTTTTTAAAACCATTTTAAGGTAAAAATTTTTTAGCTCCTTTAGGCTATATATTTTTTCAATAGTCTACAGAACAAACCATCGTTATACAATAACTTGCCTAATTACCCTAACCTGCCTAGATAACCTAAGTAACCTAGTTAAGCCTTTAAATGTCACTTTAAGCTGTATAGAAGTGTCTTGAAAAATATCTAGTCAAATATTATTTACTGTCATCATGACAAAGATAAAATAAATCAGTTATTGGAGTTGAGTTATTATGTTTAGAAATATGTAAAAAAAAAACTTCTCTCCGTTAAACAGAATTGGGCGAAAAAATAAACGGGGTTGGGGGACTAATAATTCAAGGAGGCTAATAATTCTGCATTTGAAATTTGAAAATCAGTATGTGAGAAGAACCCGGATGACCTACTACTTCCGGTAAGATTCTGAAGTGTGCATCCCATGCATTTTGCACATGATACCCCACAACAGAATTCATGAAAGGGAGTGAAGTGACTCAACTCGTATGGGTAGGTCACGTGATCATGACTAAATGGAGGATGTAGTACGTCCGAGTTCCATTCATACTACTCACATTCATACTATATAGAATATACTTTTCTAATGGCCAAGTGGTATGTTTGAATTCAAATGCAGTACCTACTGGGTAGTAGGCGGTTTTGAACGCATCCTAAGTATACCAGAAACTTCCAGTCAGATGTGTTAAAGGAAGTTGGAGCTAACTATCCAGGACACCGGCCCTCCAGGACTGAGTTTAATCCCCCTTGACCTAGAATAACCATGTGTGCTAGCAAAATAAACATTTTTTTTATATCACTTCTCACTAAATTATTCTGCACTTCTCTCCTGTCTGCCTGAATTGCTGGAATGTTCTACAAAAAAAATATCATGGTTTTCTTTTCTTTTAAAAAGCACTATAGAAATAAAGATGAATTGAACTGAAAAGTACATACAGTATGTTTAAAATGTGGCAGCACGGTGGCTCAGTGGTTAGCACTGTCGCCTCACAGCAAGAAGGTTGCTGGTTCAAGTCACGGCTGGGGACTTGTGTGTCTGCATGTTCTCACCTTGTTTACGTGGGTTTCTTCAGGGTGCTCCGGTTTCCCCCACAAGTCCAAAGACATGCGCTATAGGTGAATTGATTAAGCTAAATTGTCCATAGTGTATGAGTGTATGTGTGTGTGTGAATGAGTGTGTATGGGTGTTTCCCAATACTGAGTTGCGGCAGGAAAAGCATCCGCTGTATAAAACATATGCTGGAATAGTTGGTGGTTCATTCCACTGTGGCGACCTCTGTAATAGAGACTAAGCTGAAGTGAAATGAATAGATGAATGTTTAAAATGTGTTGAAATATGCTTCTCTCACTATGGAAATATTTAAAAATACACACAATTTCAGCGTTTTGTCTTCAAATAAAATTTTGTGCATTTCTTTGTCAAAAAAAATCAGTTTTTTTTTAAATCAGCTTTTTCAAAATGTACCGATAACCAGTTGTTGTTAGATGCATCTGTTTTACTCAAGCAGAATCCCCTTCAGAGACTCAAGAGCTCTAGGTGTGCTCTTCGGTCAGCTTTTTGTAAAGGAAGGATGTACAGTAGATGTAGATGTTGTGGTCGCTCCTCATCACTGCAGTGCAGGTTAATGAATGCTGTGGGTTTCAGCCCATCGGCTCTACATGCTGCCATCCCACAGCGTCATGCACGCACATTGATTTCAGATAAAGCAGCTGCTCTGCGTGTTTGTGGCTGAAGCGTTGCGTATCGATCCACGCACACAACATGCATCCTGAACACAAGCACTGCACTATGAGATGTAAGCTCCTCCCCTCAGTGGACATGAGATGCACCTGCTGACCGCCTCTGATTCCTCAAGAGCTGTGTGAGGGTCCAGGGTTAAACAGATTAAACGCCTCTCAGTGCATATGTGAATGAGAGATGAACCGCAGGCTGTGTGGATGTTTGTCATTGAGCTGCTCTGCTTGCTTTCTCTCTTTCGCACGTGAACCATTTGCTAGGACTACCCTAAAGGTGCAATAGGGGATTGTCTTCAGAAACTGTTTTTGTTATGCTGGTTGAAAGTCTCTTCATATGCTAAAAACAATCATCAAATAAAGTGGTCCAAGTGGATTTATTTGTTTTTTAATATTCTGTGGAAGGTAAACTAAGATTAAAAAAACCTTTGTCCAATTAAATCGTTTGTTCCAAATGTTATGACAGGCTTCTTGATGTGAGGCAATTGTGCCACCCACTGCACCACCGTGCCACCCCATAATAATAATAATAATACATTTTATTTATAGTGCGCTTTTGTCAGATACAAAGCGCTACAAGGCAAAAAACAGTGAGAAAACAGAACATTAAATACAGTAAAAAAACACCACAATAAGACAAAAAAAACAAAATGATAAAACAATAAAACAAAAACAGCAAAAATCTAAATTAACAGCAATGATAAAAAGGTGAGTCTTGAGAAGTTTTCTAAAACAGTCCAGAGAAGCGGCATTCCTGATGCTGATGGTTAGACCATTCCATAGCTTGGGCGCACTGTACGAAAAAGCTCTACCACCCATAGTCTTTAGTTAATGTAATGATAAATGTAATGACATACGCTCTTGATCCATTTTCACGTTTTGGCTTAGTCATGACATCTGTCAAAGATTTAGTTTAATTGTTGAAGGGCATTTTTGACCCCCTTATCTTGGATCTGTAAGGAATTTTTGCTCACTTTAGTCATTTCTACTGTAAGTCTCTTTGGATAAAAGCGTCTGCCCAAATGAATCTAAATCTAAATGTACTGTACTTTGCATAAGTTCTTGTTTATTTCTGAACCCAATACACTGTCATTCAAAAGACTGGTTTGAGTAAATGTAGCTGGAATAAGTCAAAACATACATTCAAATGTAAAAGTTTCATTGTAAAATGATATTTTTCTACAACTATACTATATTTTTCTGCTATATTTTTTATTCATATTTAAAAGTAAGGGCACACGGTGTCTCAGTGGTTAGAACTGTTGCCTCACAGCAAGAAGATTGCTGGTTCGAGTCTTGGCTGGGTCAGTTGGCGTTTCTATGTAGAGTTTGCATGTTCTCCCCTTGTTCCTGTGGGTTTCCTCTGGGTGCTCCGGGTACCCACACAGCCCAAAAAACATACGTTATAAGTGAATTGGATGATCTAAATTGGCCGTAGCGTATGAGTGTGTGTGTGAATGCCATCTGGTGCACAAAACATATGCTGGAATAGTTGACGGTTCATTCCACTGTGGCTACCGCTTATAAATAAGGGACTAAGTTGAAGGAAAATGAGTGAATTTAAATGTAATTTATTTAGGAATCCAAGCTGAATCTTCATTAGATTATTTGATGGATGCTAATTCAAAAGAAAAGCATTCATCTCTTGCAAAACACAGTGCTTAATGCATGTTTACTTCATAACATGTCTTTTGGAATACTTCACAGGGTTAATCTATTTCAGTCATTTTTAGACGTCTTACATTTAACAATATCAAGCCAATAAGCATCTGCAAAAAATTTAGCTTTATTTATCTTTTTTTTTCTTTTCTCAATGTAGTTCTATGCCAAAACTACAGTGGCCAAGAGAACTTAATGTGCTGCAAATTAAGAAAGCACATGCAATTACAAAAAACACCAGCAAATAAAGAAACAATCTTCGTCAATTTGACAGCACACATGTTGCATTTTGGTCACAACATAAACAACCGAAGAAACATGCTGCAAATTGGTTACAACATTTGCAAATGTCCACGTAAAACAACGGAAACATTTCTTCAGTTGTTTGTGTTGTGACCATTTTGCAACACGTGCGCTGTCAAATTGACGAAGATCGTTCTTTATTTGCTGGTGATTTTTGTAATTGCATGTGCTTTCTTTAATTGTAGCACGTCAAGCTCTCTCGGCCACCGTACAAAACTGCATGTCAAGTTATTTCCTCTCAAGCAACGCTTTTGATTTATAATGGTTTTGTTTACAGCGTTTTGCATTTGAAAGTTAATTTACACTTTGAAATACATCTTTCTTTCAAATAAATGCCACCAGGTTTGATATTTAGTTATCTACTTGCTATGACATTCATGCATTTTAAGTTTGACATTAAAGGGATAGTTCACAAAAGAGAACATTTATTCTTCGTTTTCTCACCCTCAGCTTCCAAACCTTTTCTGTTAAACATTAAAGAAGATATTTTGAGAAATGTGCAAAACCAATAGCTATCAACATTTATAATAGGAGAAAAAATATTAGAAGCACTGAAAAAAATGATTCAAAGATGATTCCTTGGATTTACTAAATGTTTTGGTTGTAAACTATTTATTTGGGGTGAACTTAAACAAACAAACTTAGTTGAACATTCCTATATTGGTTTGGTCAAATTCAACACATATAAATTGTTTGCAACAATTTTGCAGACATCATTCTTTTTTTGAGCCTATAAAGGTAAACAATTTTTTTTACTATTTTCAGTACATCTTCTTTTGTGTTCAACAGAAGAAATAAACAGCCAGTAAAAGATGACAGAATTTAAATTTTTGTGAACTATACCTTTAAGTTTAACTGCAAAATATGGCTAACTGTATTTTCTGAGTGATTGTCAATGTTTTTGTATATGACCAGTATGGTGAAAGCTTCTAACCTTCAGTTTTTATGTGTTTCAGGTTTGTGCTAAATGGCTCTGTGTGCTGGAAAAACCAATATGGATCCCTTAATTGTGCATACCTGGCTGCGGCGATGCCCACTGGATCTTCCTGAGTGTGTGGCATATGCTTGTTTTTGAGTGCTACATTGTCATTGTGTCAAAGCCGAGAGTGTCATTGAGCTACAGACAGAGCTTTACCAGTGTGTGTGTTTGTGTGCGCCGTAAAGAGGGATGATGATCTACACACAGTCAGCAGCTCACCTGGCGCTCACCCGCCTGCCCTGCCGGCCTCTGAACTCCGCTCTCCGCTGGCTGCTCGTGTGGTTGATGTGGTCAGTCTCTGTGGCATCAACGCTGACCTACCAGCCAACAGTAAACACAGCTCTTGGCAGACTGAGGGGGATGCGGGTCGCTGTTGCCACGGAGGGTCTGGGACCTGTGGATCAATATCTGGGTGTGCCTTACGCCGCTCCGCCTGTGGGAGAGAAGCGATTTATGCCACCCGATGCTCCGTCTGCCTGGTCTGGTGTGAGGAACGCCACGCGCTTTCCTCCTGTTTGCCCACAGACCGTTCGCAACGCAGTGCCAGACATAATGATGCCCGTTTGGGCCACCTATAATATGGACACGGTCGCCACATACCTGCAGGAGCAGAGCGAGGACTGTCTGTACATGAATATATACGTGCCAACACAAAGTGGTGAGTACACTTGTTAAATGTGTACATGAGCTTGTTTATGTAATACATAGAACATCAGGGGGTTTGATTATGGAATTCTTCAAATGTTTAACTTACGGTTAATGTCGTAATTCTGATTCTTAGTATTTAAAATCTGTATTTAATGGTGCCATAGATTAAATTTTGCCAATGATTCTAGACTTTGATTGAGTATCTTAAATTGTTCTCTGTCATACAAACATACAGTATGTGGCTTAGGTAAGTTCAAAAATTCTCCAGACACCATTTTATATGCTCATTTAAAACTACAGTAATTACCTCTGGAATGAAAAGCTCACTTTTGACCATATTTGGAATGGTTGATGAATGTTAATGTCTTCTCTGCTTGGATGTGTCAGTGCCCGCTCTCACATATACACACACATTGGGCCACCTATCATACACCCAGCGCAATAATGTGCAAGATGTGTTTTGTGTGATTTGCTGCCATTTTGAGACCAGCGCAACCCTATTTTTTACATTTTGAGCCACGTTGTTTAAATAGAAAATCCATTTGCGCTACTTTGTGGACTCATGGGTGTGCTGGTCTATAAAGGAGGTATGTTATAAAGTGTGTGTTATTAAGCTATAAGTAAAAGCTGGTCTAAAGTCCAGCGCAGAGAACGTAAGTTATGTGCCTATGTGGGTCCAAACGCTTAATACACACAGGATATACAGCAATACACTAATATATTTACAAATGAAAAAAGCATTAAAATGTTACAAAAATGATTATTTATTACATGGATACAAAAACACACCAGGAGGCTTTTTTCAGTTTATTCATGACGATTTGCATTTTATTTCTAATAATGTTATTAATAATATGAGTAATATTTATTATATGATTATTTATATTTGTTTTAATAAAAACTAGTTTAGATTTGTCTTAGATTTGATTTGTTTGATCTGTCGGGTTTTGGAGAGGTATCCATCACCACATGGGGCATAAGAATAGGACGTGTGTTTAGATGTAACTCATTTTTTTGACCACACTTCATTATTATAGTTTATTTATTAGTTTGCTGGAAATAAGAACTGAATTTAGAAATAGTTTTGAAACAATTCTTTGTGCTTAACAAACAAAATTAAATATGTAGGCTAATGGACCTCTTCAGTGGAGTGCGTACAACGTTTTCTTTTCCACGAAAGTAAAGAAGTAAAGTAAAGAGGCCAAATGGAGGAGGCTCATACTTTATCCTCACGTAGATGGTCTGTTAAACTGTTTTCTCTATAGTGAAGCATTCAGTTATTTGTCCATTCAGTTTTTTCACTTACAAAGTCCACCATGTAAATACTTAATGTGCTACAGCACGATGCAACTGAGTCTCTTAAAGGGAGTGTGAGATGAGTCTCTGATTGTTTTATTGCATGTTACGCTCAAAACACATCCATAACTCATTAAGAGAATAAGCACAACCCTGTTAGACCATGTGCCAGGGCACAGAGTATATTTTCCATTCTTAAAATAGCAAAAGTGGATTCAGACATGCCCTCAATGCTTTTGCGCCATGCGCGTTGACTTTTCTCCTACACTGAAAAATATGTTAGATGCAGAACTGTTGCAAACAATTTATTTGTGTTGAATTTAAACAAACAAATTAAGTTTATTAATGTTCAACTAAATTTGTTTGTTTAAATTCAACACAAATAAATTGTTTACAACCACTTAACGTAAATAATTTAGTAAATCCAAGGAATCATCTCTGAATAATTTTTTTCAGTGTACATAAGATCGTCCTTAAATGCACATGTGTAAAATTAAACTTAATTAAACAAAATATTTTACAAATTGAGTAAATTCCTTGTGAAATGACAATCGTTTCATCTAAAGTGGTGGAAATGTTAATTTTAGCTTGCAGGAATGAATGAGTGAGCTATTTTTATGCTTCCAGAAAAAAAAACTAGTTGTGCTCTGGATGAAATTTATGACAAATTATAATTATACTCAACAAAAGGAACTGACAGACAGGTATTTAAAGTTGCGATTTAAAGATTTAATGTTGATGAAAACAAGCAGGAATTAATGCCAACCTAAAGCTTATTGGCATCCTTTCGCTCAAGAAAAATCACAACAGGAGCTGAGTGATATGACATGATGCATAAACGTCACTTAAAAACTTATACTCAGCTGCTTAGTTGTTTGTAAATGTGTCTGTTGCCAATTTACAAACATACACACAAGCGGCCACTTCTTATATTGCGTCTTTTGCAAGTTTGCAGGTTCATTTTTCCATTGAAGGCATGTGGCATTTTCCAGGCACACCTATTTGAAACATGTCAACATTTCAGTACAGTATACTGCAAGCACATCATGAGTCATGTGACTTGAACTAACCTCAGCTTCACATACACTTTTCAGTAAAAACGGTAGACTAATTACCTCATACAAATGCAGCGCACCCAACCCCTGCAGTGCTTTATTAATATGAGATGTATCAGAGCTGCAGCAATGGTTTCAGTTTGTCATCCTCTGAGAGAACAGTGGATGCTTGCATAGCAATGACAAATCCCATTGTATCACAAAGGACCTTTAAAATTGGTGAATGAAGTATCTCACGGTTTCCACACCTTTTTAGACACGATGTGAATGGCCTCTATATGTATAATCCGCATCTACTGTGTTTTGTATTCTGACAAGTTGTAAATCTTTCATAGATTTCATCTTTTTTTTTTTTTTTTTTGGTATCCATGCTTCTTCCATTTTCAAAAAAAAAAGTTCCACATAGATTTGATGTTTATTTAGAAAAGCTTAAAAATGTAATTTCTTTTTAATATCAATAGAACATGTTGTGGCCAATAAAACATAGCCTGGGGCATGCAATGTAGCAGTCTGTGTTTTGTTCCAATTGGCCTGTTTTACACTCACAGGATTTACATGACATTTGCATGGTGTTTGAGGCTCATGGTGTGTCCATATTTCCATGTGCTGAAGATTTATTATTCAGTTTTGCCAAGGTATATCCATGGCACCTTTAATATGCATTTATAGAGTTAATTTATCTGTACAGGTAAAAACAGAATCACTCATTCATGCTCTTGTTCTTTATTTTAGTTCTTTTAACGCAGGCTATATACAATCTCCTTCTTTTTATAAACTAGGAAATATTGTCATTGTTGATGTATAAAGTATTCATCTGTTAAAGTTCAATGATTTAATTAAGATGTTTTATTTCACAAACCCTAATTATATACAGTGTGTGCATAATTATGCAAATCGATATTCTGATCATGTTTTTTTTCCCCAAGTACATTTTACCACTTTAAAACCACATCAGTTTTAATGACTACAATAAATTGTGTATGTAATCATTATTAAGTGATATATAATTAATCAATTAGGGCTTGAAGTTAAAAAAAGAAAAAGACCGTATTATCTAATGCATTGTGTCTCTGTGATGTGTGATGTATTGAGCAATTATTTGTCAGTAACTATTTAAAAATGACAGTGCTGTTCAAAGCATTTGTGAAAAACAGCCGATTCCAATGTTATCACTCGATTGAAAGGCATTATCAGTGGTTATCAACTGATATGGGCCAGTAGGGGCCTACTGGTAGGCTAAGAGAATTATTTATGTCATTTATTATATATCCCATTAATTGTATCTTATTTAGGGATGCACTGATATGGATTTTTTGGTCGATATTGATAACCGATAACTCTTGAGATTTGGAGGCCGATTGCTGATATGCTATAGCCCAGGGGCGCCTGCAGGATTTTATTCAAAGACACACACATATCCAGCACCACCCCATCCCATCATCCCTTATTCCTAATATTGTTAAAAACACCTTCAATGGTATAGCTGTTCCATGCCAGGAGGCTGAGCAGCTGGATCAGAATTGTCCAATGAATGAGATACAGGCTGAGCCTAGAGTTCCCCCGACTCAGGTGCTGATGAGACTGCGGTCTTCACCCCGTGCAGGGAAGCAATATTTGTCACATTAGTTTTAGGCCTTTTGACAAATGCCTCCATTAAATTTAGCTGTTTTAAACAGAGTTTACTCATTTTGAACCTTGCTTTAAACAATAGCTATCTGAATTGTATTTTTTAGTGTGTGGAAAAACCGCCAGCAAAACAAAAGCCAATAAATTTCTTTTCCCATCTCCCACCATGTAAGTACATACACACTTTAAAACACACAAGCGCACACCTTTATTGATTTTTATTTTTTCTTGCTTTGTCAATAAATCGTAGTGTATACTGTTTAATTATCAATCTAAATTATGTAAAAAATAAATAAATAAATCAGCGCCATTAATTAGCACCCTATCATGGTAGGTATGCACAATGCATACAGCCGTATGGCTGCAGGCGCCACTGCTATAGCCGATAAATATAATTATTCAAAAATGTTATACTTTTCTACAGTGAAAAGCTGATTCTATTTTAAAAACTTCATAAAAGTTTGAACTGATCTTAGAGAATAGTCTACTCAAAGCAAAAATCTATAATTTAAAAAAAAATGGAAGGTGATTATATGGATATATATTTATGATTTCACACAAGTCAGCATGCTTAAAATAAATTATTTCCTTTTCGCATAGCAAATTAAGATGTAACTTGACTTTTGTATAAAATATAGTTAAATAACAAAATGGCACTTAATTAATAAATTATTTTAATTAACATATTTTAAGTAAAATGACATTGAAAGAACTAACAACAGCTCAAATTAATAAAGCATGTTACAGTAATGAACATGTTCAAATACTGTACGTAATGTCCGAAAAGGCATTACGAGAGGCATTTTAACAGTTCAGAGCCACAGTACAAGAGAAAAGTTAAATACAGAGAGTATGATTTACTTTAGAAAGTGCAGCATAAAGTCATCCAATTTAACCTTTTAGATTCTTTTGAACACACTGGAGTGCTGCTTATCAATCAGACAACGATTTTGTGTTCGTTCTTGCTGTAAATTGTGGGACAAATGATTGATGTAAGGTTTATGATAAACCGCTGTGAGTTTGAAAGTTTAACTGCAGGCACTGTGCGATGCACACGAAGAACATAAATGATAAAAACAAATAATCATATTAGATTGGGATAAACAACCCGACGAGTTGTTTATCAGCTTGAAGATATCAGCCTAATTTTGACATCAAACCAATAACGAAAACATTAAAAATAGCATTTATCGGCCGATAACTATATGGCCACTGATATATCGTGCATTCCTAATTTATTAACGTCTACCACTACCACAACCCTTAACCTAACCGTCACAGTAATGTAAAAACAGATCTGGATCTGGAGACTTCTTGATTAATATCGCTGATTAACCATGTGGATGGATGATAACAGTCTTCTGAGACTATAAGTAGGTGCAGAAGGCCCCTACTGGCCCATATCTATAAGCTGATAACGTCCATTTAATCGAGCGATAACATTCAAAATCAGTTTCATTCTTTTCAATGTAAATCCCTTATTTTTTATTTAGGCTGTATTTACCTGTTCAAACATATTATTACAATTTAAATAATATATGTTTTCTTAAGGAAAGCTTATTTAATCATTTGGTGCTCAAGAAACACCAAACCTTTTTACCATGGAGAGCCATGAAATAGAGTTATTTTTAAGGAAGTCGCTTGGCTGTAGTTAACCACTGCAGATCAGAACTAGCTTCAAGCTACAATTTCAAAGCTTCTCCTATACCACAACACACACGAAGCACCTAGACATATTCTTTGTTGTAAAACAAAAAAAATAAAGATAAATATTTCACTGGAGCGTTAGCCTACAAAAACACTTCAGTCCTCAGCACTTCCTCTCAGTTCCTGTCTTTCTCAGCATTTCTAAGCTACATCTGAGGCTCCTCTGATGTCCAGCTCGGAGCCTGCGGCCAGAATCAGCTCTGCACTTTTCATCCACTCTTTATCTACAACTGAAGCAGCATCTGTGTCCACTCAAGTCTACATTGAGAGCTCTGTTTTGCCCTCGTTCCAAGCAAATATCACATTTCTCCTGGTAAAAACGTTGAAAGCTTCATTATTTCCAGGTTCAGAGTGGGAAAGTGAACGCTTATTGGTATCGCACAGTAATTCAGCAAAGAGTGGACTGAGCTTTTACACACAAACACACCCACGTGCCACTCTGTGGTCTAGTTTCCATCTCCTCTTCTAATTTATCATCTCTCTTCTTCTCTCTAGGTACAAAGAGAACAGGCGACATGTCAGCTGACACCGAGCGCACAGAGGATGATGGTATGTCCCGTTTTCATCATTCTTTCAGCTCGATTCATTTTTAATGTTTTTTCTATCCATTTTTTATCCCGTCGTGGTTAATGCAAGAGAGAATAATCTGGATGATATTTACACAATGTTGCATCATTTCGAGGATGGTTTTATGAGCTGGTCCAGTGTGTTTGGGGTGGCTCTGTAGATACCAGTATTGGTTTTGATGAAAGAGCCACGCTGTCGACCAATACTACAGTACATATGCATACATTTCCCTCTCTATCTTTAATCTGCAGTCCACATTTTGCCACTTTCTCCTTCTAAAGTTTGAGCGCCTGTTCAAGCTTATAATTATCCGCACACTCATCTGATGAGGCGATGCTATTCGTTTATTTGTGAACGTTGCACTCGAAGACAACACTTCACCACGCAATGACTATAATCATTGTAATAAATGAATCTCAAAGAAATTGGGTAATTTAAAGGAAGTCTCGGAGGCAGATCTTGGCTGGTTATGTTGGTATTTTTAGTCACTAGCGTTGAGAACGTCGAGGAGTTAAATCGATTATTTAAAGCTGAGATCTGCCAGTGGTGCAGAAGATCTCTTTGGTGATTTTGAGCAGCTGTGAAAAACACTCCAGAATGCTGAGAAGCTCACATATTTCTCTCTTTCCTTCTCTCTCTGTGTGTGTGTTAATGCAGGGCTTAGGGATTCTCGAGACGACCCTCGTCCTGTGATGTTATTTATTCATGGTGGCTCGTACATGGAGGGTACAGGGAACATTATGGATGGTAGTGTGCTGGCCAGCTACGGCAATGTCATCGTCATAACCCTCAACTACAGGGTGGGAATATTAGGTATGTACAATAAATTGGAGTCAATTTTACTGGTGTAAAATGCAGTCATTTTGAATTCTCACAATCAGGAGATATGCATATAGATATGCATTTTTGTATACAAATTATTGCTGTTATTAAAACATAATATTAGATTTATATATATTTTTAAAACACATTGTTGTTGTTGTTTTGTCATTTTAACAATGACAAATAACATTAAACAATTGTCACTCACTCTTAGAACCAATAATGAATTCTGTTTTGTTAACAATCTGATTCTTTTCGATTAACTTGAATCAGTTGAATCCCAAATCTCACTTAACAAATGATTTGTGAACTGGACTGATCTAATTGCATCTGTTTTTGAGTCAAGATCTGATTCAAGTGATCTGATCAGAGCAGTTTAACTAGAGTGTACTACAGTACGTTTAACTAATGTGAACACTGTCTTCTGAACTCATGTCCGCACCCACGAATTGTACCCAAGTCCGCCTGAATGAGGTGGTCTGGGGTATGGTTTGTGCAACTCTGGTACAGTTCACTTCTGATGTGAATGCAATCTTACCAAACTGTGGAAGTGAACAGCCAACAGCACAACGTGTGTATGTCTGTGTATCACCTACCTTGGCGACAAGCGGGACTGACCCAGTGCAAACAGTGATAATGTCTGCTCATCTCCACCAAAATCAGCTTCTGCAGTCATCACGTGATGTTCTGAACATTTTTCTGTAACACTTTATTTTGATGGTTCATTTGAGTTTTAGTAAACTCTCTGCTTAATATCTGTTGATACTGTTTCTATTTAACTGACTCTAAAAAAACTTGGCAACTACATGTCAACCCCAAGCCTAACCCCAACCTAACAGAACTTATAGTCTAATGAGAATTAGTTGGCATGTAGATGCAATGTAAATTAAATTTAACTAACAGACCATCAAAATAAAGTGTGACCCCTTTTTCCTATTTTTTTGCGACAGATAGACGCAAGTGGCTTTCTGTATTTTGATGTTAGTAACAAAAGCAAAAGATTCAATAAAAGCAGAACGACCATGAAATGTGGACGTCTCCATTTTGTTGCTTTGCTTTTGCCGCCTTCACCTAGCCACTGCTGTACACAAAACAGCAGCTTGATAATGCAAGCGTATCCAGGGTTCAGAAAGTAAAAAGGTGGTGTGAACACAAACCAGCCGAGAAGGTGGCAAAGGGAGATGATCAAATCTGGGTTCGGTCCAGGCAATTGAACCAATTGTGAAAGCACCCTAAATGATATTTCAGTCAAAGCCAAGAAAGTCTTTAGTTTACGATGCAATGCTTCTAATTATCCTATCATAGTAAATCTCCAGTTAACAACTCACTGATTCAGATTATTCTGTCACAGCAAGTCTCTGCTTAACAACTCAATGACTTGGTGATTCAGTCTAAGTGAGTCTCCTGTTAATGATTCATTGATTCAAATGATCCATTCATAACAAGTTTCCAGTTACAACTCACTGATTGTAATAATTGGGTCAGAACGAATCTCCATTTTACAACTCGGTTAATCAAATGATATGCTCAGATTGAGTTACATTTTAATAATTTACTAGTTCAAATGATAGGGTCAAAAGGAATCTTCAATTAATAATTCACAGATTCAAATGATCCAGTCAGAGTACATCTCCAGTTAACGACTCGCTAATTCATGTGTTATGGTTAGATTAAGTGTCCAGTAAAAGATTCACTGATTCAAAGGATCTGGTCAGGATGAATCTCCAGTTATTTACATGAGCCAGTCAGAGCAAGTCACCAGTTAAAGATTTACTGATTCAAATGATCCTGTTAGAGTGAATCTCCAGTAAACGACTTACTGACTCAAATGATCCAGTCTGAGTCTCTTGTTAATTATTCATTCATTCATTCATTCATTCATTCATTCATTTAAATGATCCATTGAGAGCAAGTCTCCAGTTATAACTTACTGATTTTAATGATCCAGTCAGAGACAATCTCCAATTTTCAAATCAGGTATTCAAATTATCTGCTCAGGTTAACTAATTCAATTGATAAGGTCAAACGGAGTCTTCAATTAATGATTCACATATTCAAACAATCTTTTCAGAGTGAGTCTCCAATTATTCATATGATCCAGTTAAAGCATGTCTTAAGTTAAAGATTCATTAATTCAAATTATTCTGTCAGAGCAGGACTGTTGTTAGTGTAATGAATCGCTGGTTCAAATTACCCAGTGAGAGCAATTCTCCAATTAAAGATTCACTGATTCAAATGAATCAGTCAGAGTCTCCAGGTGATTGTTCCTCTCTTAATGTTCCCAGCTACAGTACTAGTATGAAAACTACTGTTAACTTTGTTGTATTATATGTTTATTTGTCAACACACATTTATACAACTTTTTACTGGTTATATTGGATATTTTGTTGTTTCCTTGTGATTACATGCTTGAATTTATAATTAATTACACTGTAAAAAAAATGCTGGGTTCCAAACAATCACTTCAAGTTTATCGTACACAAAAAAAATTAAGAAGTGCCAAAAAAAACTTGAATTGTGTTGTTCCAGCTCATTTTAAATAAGTGGTTTGAACAAGCAGTAAAAGTAGTAGTTCTAAAATATTTTCTTGCATAATTAAAAACATTCATCAATCAGTCATTTTTACTGAAAGGACCAAGCACTTTTGTACTTTCACTCAATTGAAATTAAAGAAGTATTTTACTGGCATAGTATTTCATTAGTGTATCGGAACCATCTCTCAAGTACTTGATTCATGTGCTTCGCCCCTCACAGATGAATATTGAGAAGGACAGTGTTTTTCCTGTTTTGTAGAAAAGATCAATGTGTCAAAGGAAGTATACTGTCACTCCAAATGAAACTTGTTGGCCATTATATAAGGACCCGAGTCTTTAGAAGACCTCGATAATGTTTTATAAATGCTTTGGGGAGCAGATCTGTCCATTACAGCCTCATTCAGAGAGAGTGCTGTTAGTGCGCTTCTTTTAAAAGAGCTCTGATTCTGTTTAATCTCTGCAACTAAAGCATCAAAACAACGTGGAAATCCTACTCAAATGTTATTAGACAGAAAATCACCTGTGATTAAAGGAGGAGATTGAATGAAGAAAGCCCCCTCTTTCGGAATGAAGATGCTCTGAAGAATGAAATGGCGCTGCTGAACCGTATAAAACAACAATCATGTCTGAAAGCCAACAGGCATCATCACCTCACATTCTCCTTCTCTGACGTTCTGTCAGTTGCAGTTAAACCCCTGAATGAAAGAAATGTGCTATATGTAAGTACTCAAACACAATAACAGCTCAAAAACTGTCTTTCAGTGACTGATTTTTGCAGTTAGACAGCGTGAATAGTTAGATAAGATCTCAGCAATACTCATTTGTACCTGTTGAGCTTAGATGTCCCAAATATTGTTTGGGCTTCAAACAAATCTTTAAAAAAAAAAGCTGCAATGTTGTGCTACAATGCTAACATGGTGAAAATCCAGAAGTCAAGTTTTAGCTAGTTAGTTTGGTATGACTATAGTCTACTTAATGAGCTTCCCCCAAGCAAAAATAAATCTGTAATTGAATGAAAGAAACATCTAATGCAGGGTTTCTCAACCACGTTCCTGGAGGACTACCAGCTCTGCACATTTTCCATAGCTATTTCTCAATTCCAGATCACAGAGAATGAACTTGTGTTCTTGTTAAGACCGGTCTTGCCACCTCGGAAGAACAAACTCGGGAGACCGCGATAACACTGAATACATCGTCTAAGAAATTAGATGCTGCGTTCTTCTTGATGGTCACATGACCTTCACGCATTTTCTATCAGAAAATGGTATTAACATTACAGCATTGATACAAAGATTTATTGTTTGTGTTCCCCTTTTCAATATATAACATGCACAAAAACCTTACAAATAAACTTTGCACAATAGAAATTAAACTGATTTTAACACTAATTTCTGCAAATAAACGCCCTTAATGTGTTTATGACTCTATTAAGATTTACATGGTAATCTTTACATTCACCGTCTCATTTTGGGAAACTCCTGAGATAAATAAGTTCTATCTCTCAACTTTAATATCAAATCTAAATAAAATGCTGCACTTCCCACCTCAAGTTTGCATCGGTGCATCCTAGATACCAAGAACACATTCGAGAACTTTCACGAATCCCCCGTACTTGCGGTCTTGGAACTGAGGACACAAGGACACATGATCCCCGAAGAACGCATATTGAGAAACAGCCCATGTCTCCTAAAGCAAACACACCTGATTCAGTTTATGAGCTCATTAGCAGAGACTGAAAGACCTGTAATGGGTGTGACAGACTTAAGACACATCCAAAACATTCCGGCTGTTTCTCAATTCCAAGAACGCCGTGTGTTTATGCCTTTATTAAGATTTTTATGGGAATGTTTACTTTCATCGTTTCATTTAAGGAAACTCCTGAGGCAAATAAGTTACATCTTTGAACTTTATAAATAAATCTGTATAAAATGCACTTCTCACCTCCTTATTCAGCCGCAATGACTTTTGCGACTTCAAGGAAAGTGGTTGAGAAACCTTGATGTAATGAATAGCATTCTTTAGGTAAAAATTATGGTGCCAGGAATAAACTATAATTTGTTTTTACAGTGACGCCATTGCATAGACCAAACTTATTTGTTCCAAAAATAACCTTTTAATGAAATGTATATCAAATAACCTTTTTTCTCAGAATCTAAAGATTTTTTTCGACTCAAAATAACCTTTTTAACACCCATGGAAGCTTTTAATTCTACAAATGTTTGAAAGAGCGAAATTATGCCATAACCATTTCAGATTCCACAAGGAGTCTTTAGTTTTTTAAAGAACCATTTTTCTTACTGTATAGAACGAATATATATAAAAGCTCCAAAAGTATCAAATTTATTCATTTGTAAAAATCTCACAGCTTATAACATTTTGAGCACACTGGCTCTTCATCAGACACAGCCAGTGTGCTCGAAACATTACCGCTGTGAGCTTTTTTTTTAAGTGAATAAATTTGACACTTTGGCGTACACCCAGTTGAGATTGATGTGCATGCTGTTGTTAAATGATTTTTCTTACTGTATAGAACGCATTGAAAATCTAAACTACTCACTGTGTTAAAAATGGTCTGAAAATGCAGACTTACAACATGATAACTGTAACAAGGTTCCAGCATCTTTAATATGAGCATTTATTTAGCAACAAAAGCAATGCTATAATAACCTTCAGTATAAAGGCCTGTCATGGTCTGCAATTTTAACTAAATCACACTCAGCACACAAGTGTTTTGTTTATGTTTGGAGGGCTGCAGAGTGTGTACTTGATGTGTTGCCATATCCCTTTAATATAAGTGACGCTGATTAAACACCATTAGCCTTATGCGGTCAAGTTTATGGAGTTAAAAGGACTTAAAAACCTGATTTGATTTGCTCACCCTTGACTTGATCCAAATCAGTTTTTGTTCTCTTGAACACAAAGGAAGTTATGTTGAGTAATATTAAAACCTGTAGCCAGAGACTTCTATAAGAATGTGTTTTTCCTATATACAGTAGATGTAATAAGCTATGTTTTCATCCAAAATGATGTGTTACTATGTAAACTAAACCTTACTTTATCATGAATTAATATTGAGTTAAGGCACATGCTAATCATGAGCTAACTTTAACAACAATATTAGTCATATGAATATGAATATTACATAAAAGATGTGCGAATAAACCAGCGTTTCCATCCAACGAGTCAAAGAAAACAAAATCATCACTTCCTGATTAACTGGCGCTAAATGTCAACAATAAAAATGGATTTTGCTGTGGTAGGAGAAGCTGAGTCAATCTTTTCTTCATTTAATAAATGACCTTTAGTGGACAATGAATGTGTGTTATTTGAAGCTGCAATGCAGAGTAAAGACGCTTAACAGTTCTGGAGGTAATTAATAATAATAACACAATTAATAATAATCAATTAATAATATAATAACACATACTGAAATGGTTACGACATTTTAGAATGACCAAAGCAACATTTCAGATGTATTACAATGTGGTCAGCCAGCTAGTCACATGACTGTTTTAATGCGCATACTGGAATTTGTTTGTAATTTAAAATTGTTTCTATTGTGGTTATGCGCATCTTTTCTTATAGAACAAAAAGTTTATCCTACTCAGTTATGCGCATACATTTTTTATGCGCATTTTTAATCCTTCAACCGATTTTTTTTAATGCACATGTCATAAAAAAGGTGGATGGAAACATAGCTAATGGTTACAGGTTTGTAACATTCTTTGATATAAATTCTTTTATGTTCAACATAACATATATACTGTATGGTTTGGAACAAGTCAAGAGTAAGTCAAGTGATCTTTTTTTGGAACTATTCCTTTAATGATGTAAAGCATGTTGAAGTATTTTTACCGTGTTGTTGTTGCATATTTATTTATGTGATAAGTTTATTATGGCTTTGTTCTTATTTGTGTTTCTTTTTGTTGAATTTCCTAAGGTTAGGTACAGGTTTAGTTGTACTTTTAATGTAGGTTCAACGTTAGTCATAAATGTCAAATTAAATATTTAAATTATTAGAGATGTAAATTCATAAATTAATGACAGATGTACTTACACACAGTTTTGAAACTGTGACTACATCTAAAAGTGAGTACCTTGTTGTTAAATACCATAGATATTTATATTAGACGTCATCTACGCTATTGTTGTCTATTGAAAGAAATGTGCAATAAAGCCGCCATTTTAGTACAGGGTAGCGCTCCTTTGAAATGAATGGGTAGTGGAGTACTGGCCATCCAGAGCCAGATATATATATATATATATATATATATATATATATATATATATATATATATATATATATATATATATATATATACATACACACACACGCACACACATATATACATATATCTATAATTGGGAGTTTTCCTGGTGGTCAGCATGCAAATGTAATTTTATTTATTTTTTTGATTACAAAAATTATAATTTTACATCACTTTTCTACATCAATGGATACAGTTGAAGTCAGAATTATTAGCCCCCATTGAATTGTTTTCTTATTTTTTATATTTTGTCCAAATGATGTTTAACAGAGCAAGGACATTTTCACAGTATGTCTTATATTATTTTTTCTTCTGGAGAACATCTTATTTGTTTTATTTCAGCTAGATTAAAAGCCTTTTTTTAATTTTTTAAACAGCATTTTAAGGACAAAATTATTAGCCCCTTTAAGCTATTTTTTTTTCTTCACTTTCAACAGAACAAACCATCATTATATAATAAATTTCCTAATTACCCTAACCTGCCTAGTCAACCTAATTAACCTAGTTAAGCCTTTAAATGTCACTTTAAGCTGTATAGAAGTGTCTAATATTATTTACTATCATCATATAAAAAAAGATAAAATAAATCAGTTATTAGAAATGAGTTATTAAAACTATTATGTTTAGAAATGTGGTGAAGAAATCTTCTCTTCGTTAAACAGAAATTGGGGAAAAAATAAACAAGCGGTCTAATAGTTCAGGGAGGCTAATAATTCTGAGTTCAACTGTTAGTGACCGCATAGAAATTCATGACAAAAAGCATGTGTTCGTGTGCATAGATATGTATTATCCTTCCTCCCTGTTAAATTTAATCTGATCTGTGTCCAAAAGCACCCCACCTCTCTCCCGCTTTCTAACAGAGGGAGCGATGCGTTTGTGAATGAATCTCTGTTTTAAAAGACTTGTGGGAACCAATGTTATCCCTGGGTCTATCCATGTGCATATTCCCCTTTCTGAACTATTTGGAATATAAGATTTGTAATATTCAATATATTATGGTGTAACGTATGCACATTGAGGCGCAGGCACTGTTACCAGGCACCCTTATAAATTACTTCAAAAACTAGCTTTACTTACTTCACTTAGCCAACAATAATACAAGTTTCTGGCATCAGCAGTCTTGTTATCATATTTCATTTACATCGTTTGCTGATTTGATTAAACAAAACTAGCATAAGCCTAAAATTTAGAGCAAGTTAATGCTACTTTGCCTTTTGGTCAGTGCAGTAAGTGACTGTATGATCATCAATAACGCTACTTGTTTCGCTCAAAAGTTTGTAACATACAAAAACATAAAAACTAAACCTTACTTATGAAATGTTCTGCCTTTGTGCTTTGTTTTCTTTGTTTGCTCGTTACAAAAGTCCAGCATCTTCACATTGGCTTGATTATTGCGGTTAATTGGCATTTGTTCTGTGAGCACTGTACAAATGTGGCGGCAGTATTGACACATGCTTTGGGTCCGTATGTATGTATGTGATATCTAGTGTATATATCTATGGTTAAATACATTCATAATAAAATAATTCCAAAGCTTCTCATACAAAAACGTTTGCAGTTATTAATATAATCGATAATTCGTTTGGTGAAATCTATTAGGTTTTTCCCTGTACATATTTGATATCTTGGTTTAAAATAATTCTCTGTAAGCTGCCAGACCACACATAACTGTTTCATTGTCAAGATCACTGACGAGTAGTCATTTTTCTAATCTCTATATCCTCTTTTTCATTTCTCTCTCAGGATTTTTAAGCACAGGTGATCAGGCGGCTAAAGGGAATTATGGTCTCCTGGATCAGATTCAGGCTCTCCGCTGGATCAACAAGAATATTGGATATTTCGGTGGTGATCCGGGCCGCGTGACCGTGTTTGGCTCAGGAATTGGAGCGTCCTGTGTCAGTTTGCTCACTCTGTCACACCACTCTGAAGGTCAGATATCACACATCTCGAATAAAGTTTAATGTAAAAAATGTTATGTTGATACAATGTATATTTAAATCTGCATCATGAACTTGAATTGTAAGTGTATATATTAAAAGATATAGTACTATAGCACTAATTATACCTGCACTAAGCTTTAAGCTAATGAAAGGTGTGTCCGGTGTATTTGTGCGGTGTGTAAATGCTGAGACAGCTGCCTCTGCAGCCATGACCACTGTCACATCCCAGTCTCCGTTACCACGGTAATCTCTGCTGTAACCATGGTAACCGTCTCCTGCCTCATCAGCCGTATCCCTCTGCTGTGGGCCTCAAGTGTGTGTGTTTTACAGAGATCACAGCCAATCACACACACCTGCAGGGATATTGATCCTACATCAACGTTTTGCTTCAACGTACAGTATTGATAACACTCTGTCTCCTCTACGCTACGCATCAATCTTTCTCTGTCTCACTGTTTTTGCACTGCCACTGCGTTTTATACATGCATTTGCTTGAATACATATTTTTCAGCCAACTGCACATTCGTTCTCTTTTCCTTTTCCTTTATTAATCAAGGGTCACCACAGCAGAAATAACCGCCAACTTTCTTAAATACAAGATCCACCTATAATGCTATCATGTTTTTTACAGTAATGGGTTATTTTCTGTTCTTCTCATCTGAACACACTACTTGAGGAGGCATGGCGGTTTTAGACTCTGAAGTGAATGCCCACTTGTATGATTGGCTTACAGTTGCTAACAGGACAGATGTGTGTCTATCAATGTAAACATCTGCGTATGTTTTTCTTTCATATATAATTTCTTCTGTGGTTTAGGTTACAAATGCTAAAACGCTGTATTCTTATCAGGTTATAACAGACAAAGTACACTGTAAAAAATTAAGGCAGTACAGCAACAACAACGACAACAACAAAAAAAATTTGAAAACATCAGCTGCACTGACCTAAAACTATTTGTCAGTAATACGAAAAACATTTAGTTGGGTTAACATAAGATTATTATTTTTATGGAGAGGTGAACTACTCTGTAACAAAACTTTTTAACTGGGATGCCTTAAGTTGAGTCTACACAAAAACATCATAATCCTTATTTCCTTTTGCTTTTTCTTGTTTACTCAAATTTTGAAACCATCAGCTGCACTGACCTAAAATGTCTGAGGCTGAGTGAACACAAAAACGTTTTTGGAAATAGTACTAAGTAGTACAAACAAACATAGTTCAATTGAAAAAATAACTAAAAAATAGAGACTAATGTTAACAAAATATTTATTAGACACAGTGTTAGAAACAGTACTGGAGGCAATACAACAATTCCAGTAAACAAGGCAAGGATCAAAACATGGCAGCACAAACAGCAAAAACCACTTTGTAATACTTCACAGGGAAAAACAAGACTCAAAGAGTGTGTGTGAATGAGGTGTCTTTATAGTCCTATAATCATGATGAGCTTCCATCATGAGCTTCCAACTCTGTGTGTGTAATCAGGAGGAACCACAAACAGGTGAATTATAGTTTGAGCATTTGAACCGTCATTTAATTAATACAGGATTTTACAGAGTTGTTCATGAAAAATACATTTAGATTTATTCGTTGATAATTAAGGTGTTTGATTTATCATTTGAGCAGTTGTTTTGAAAGTTTGATTTATTAGTTGATTTTTTTAGGGATTTAAATTTTTATTTTTATTTTGTTAGGAAAAAACTTCCATAAATATATATATATACATAACACTTAAATTAACAGTCCACATGCGCTATTTCTTTTTGTGAAGCGAGCTATAAATGTGAAAATTCTTTCTGCAGCTGTGACCCCCGGAAAAAAAAAAAAAGATAAATTACTAGTGAATAATAATTTCAAGTTATGTTAACATTATTGCAGTAGTATTTTGTTGTTAATAATAATGACATTAATTGTATTATTAGTGTTACTATTATTTTTGTCGTTGTTAATGTTAGAAATACTGCAACTTTTATTTTTTCAAGTGAGGAGGTCTTAACTCAACTTAAAGTAACAAGTTGGCAGAAGTTGCTCACAAAACTAATCTTTTTAACTTGATGAAGAAATTGTTGATTTAGGTTTAGTCAAGTGTTAAATGTAGTTCTACAGACATATTAACTGATTTTTGCCAAACTACCAAAAAAAAAAACAAAAAAAAAACAAGTAATTTCAACTTTTTTCAAGTTGTTTTTTTAAGTTAGATTTTTTTTACAGTGTAATAGTGAACGCATATTAAAATCAGTTACTGACTTGAGTGCAACATTTGTTTTTTAGATTCAGCTGTTCTGTCCAATTTTGTCTTGTTTGTGAAGTAATCTGTAAAAACAACGGCATAAATGAAGGATCAATTCTTACTGATGCAGCCTGGATCTTCATTTAAAATGAAGTTCATCTACTCTTTCTAAATGTTTGGATCAGAAGGAAGCCAAGGCAAAAACTGTGTTTTTCCACAAATTGGCACTGTAGGAACAGACATTGATCTTCTTCTGTGGAGGCAGAGTTAAGCCACGATGTTATATAATAAAGAGGCACATTCACAACCTGTCGTTTTGGCAGATTAGCTACAATATGAGCGGTTTTTAGACTAACAAAAAGGTTTTGAGTTCTGAAATTTAAAGGATATTTCATGACACAATGGCCTCTTGTGTACATGAAAAGATTAAAGGAATGTCCATCTCTCACTTCATGACTCCTTTAAATTCTAGTATCTAAATTCTGCAAGTGTGTTCTCAGAAATCCTCTGTAAGACAGTAGTTCTGGCTTTGTCCAAATTGACTGTCACTACCAATTTCTGCGATTATTTCTAAAGCAGAAGAGTCTCCACTACATTTCTTTTGTATGTGGACTGCAGGAGTAGGTCATCCGTGTTGAGCAGACATTAGATTTCAGTGTGTGTATTGTGAGGTCAGGAGTGGCAGATTGCTCCGCTACTTCTGCTGTATCATTTATGCAGATGCTCAAAAGGACTGGACTCTAGCCACATACAGTCCTTTATTTTTTGTTAATACACTGATTCTGAGTTATTAAGATTTAAGCTCTCTTTAAATTATTTCCAGTCTTCCAGACCAAGGGAATATACACTATTGCTCCAAACAATTAAAAATCAATTTTACTGTTGACTAGAAAAGCTCTTCTGCAGACAAGAATAAATCTGCATATTGATGTGGATTCGGTTTCGTTCTGTATACTTAAATGATATAGATTAAATACAATTTTCTACATGGCAGCAACTAAGGAAATGAGCAATTTTAGAGAAAAAACAGAGAAAATGATATATTTATATTATTATTTATACATTTTGGGAAAATTATATATTATATATATATATATATAATTAAAAGTCTAGATTATTCAATGTTTTTTGGGATTCTTATGCTACTCCAGTGTTTCTCAATCCTGTGTCTCAACACACTGTACATTTTGAATGTTTTTCATGTAGGATGTTGTTCGGATTTGGCAACAGGATATCCACACCGTATTCTTCCATGATGGAGTCAATCTAGAGCTATATATACTTGCAAATTAAAACAAAAGTTTTGCAAACAAAAAATAAAGTACTATATTTTTAAGAATTCAAAATTAATTTTGCTAACAAAAATTAAGAACTGCAAAGAAAAAAATTAAGTTTTAAGAAAGAAGAACTACATTTGAAAACAAAAAAAGAACTGCAAAAAAATCAACAGTGCAAAAAATACAAATATTTGCAATTTAAATATATATATATATATATATATATATATATATATAAATTTGCAAAACATTTTTATAGCATTGCCTTTATAAAACCCGTCCAGTCAATTGCCATGTTCATTTTGATTAGTTTTTTAGTCAACCGTGAGTTTATGATGCTGTTTTCACTTAGCACTTCACATTTCTGTGCTTTTCACTTTGTGGCCCTGATTTGACAAGGGGGCGGAGTCAAAACTTGGCCATTTACTGCAATGGACCTGCCTCCATTTAAGTGATGTCATTACCTGGAGACTCAGTATCACCGAGGTAATCTTACAGCCCAGTAGGGGGCGGAATGCAACTATCATTTGCTTGCCAACCGCCATAAAACTTTAAAAGAAGAGAAATAAAATGAAATTATCAATAAGACATAGGCTGCGTCCGAAACCGCATACTTCCATTCTATACAGTACTCTGAAATCAGTATGTGAGGCGAGTAGTATGTACGAATTCAAAGAATTTGAAAATCAGTATGTGAGAAGTACCCGGATGACTTACTGCTGCCGAGATTCTGGAGTGCGCATCCCATGCATGCTGCGCTATCCCATGATGCCCTTAGAGCAAATTCATAAATGGGAGTTCTTTTTTTTTTTTTAAGCCCATAAACAGTGTATACAATTTATACAAACAACAACAAATAGGCAGAACAATCATATTTAACATTGAAGAAAAAGAAGTGCAAAAAAAAAAAAAACACTTTTTTTTAATAAAAAAATACATATTGAAAAAGCTAAATTTACTCAAACATAGGGAAAGAGCCGCAGACAGTTTAAGTTTTTAGAGCCTTTTTGTTATGAGACAATTAGATCAGTGAAAGGTATTGTTTAAATTCGTTCTTCATGATTGGCAGTGAAGCGACGCAACAGACGCAGGTAGGTCACGTGACCATGACAAAATGGCGGATGTAGTACGTCTAAATTCCATTCATACTGCTCACATTCATACTGTATAGAACACACTTTTTTAACGGCCGAGTAGTATGTTTAAATTCAAATGCAGTACCTACTGAGTGGTAGGTGGTTTCGGACGCAGCCATACCTTAACTTCTCTCGTGTGCCTCTGATCAGCCATCCTTCTGCTTCTTCTTCTTTCAAAGTTTTATGGTGGTTTGCAATCAAATGATGATGTAGCTTAAATGGAGGGAGGTCCATGCCTGCCGTAAACGCCAAAGTTCCCTTGACTTCGCCCCCTTGTCAAAAATGTGAAATGTGAAGAGAAAACAGCATCGCAAACTCACGGTTGACTAAAAAGCTAATCAAAATG